TAGGACAGGTAGGAAGGGCAGAGAGGAAGCAGGGCCTCTGGGTGCCCCGTTGCGGGCCCAGGTGACGGGGCCACAGGTCAGTTCTGCCTCTTCCCTTCCCTAGTCATGGAAGTCATCAGGAATGGCACGTCCTTCCCAGTCCTGGAGGGCCAAAGCCTGCGCCTGGTCTGTGTCACCCACAGCAACCCCCCAGCCAGGCTGAGCTGGACCTGGGGGACGCAGACCCTGAGCCCTGAGTGGCTTTCAGACGCTGGGGTCCTGGATCTGCCCCGGGTGCAGACAGAGCATGGAGGAGAATTCACCTGCCATGCCCGCAGCCCCCTGGGCTCCCAGCACCTCTCCCTGAGCCTCTCTGTGCACTGTGAGTGCGGGAGGGGAGGGAGGGCACGCCTGGGGTCGGAACGAGGTGGCATCTGCTGAGCCTACTGGGTTGGGACGAGGTGGCATCTGCTGACCCTTCTCCTCGCTCCTCAGACCCCCCAAGGCTGCTGGGACCCTCCTGCTCCTGGGAGGCCCAGGCTCTGCTCTGCAGCTGCTCCTCCCGCGCCTGGCCGGCCCCCGCCCTGCACTGGCGGCTGGGGGAGGGGCTGCTGGAGGGGAACAGCAGCAATGCCTCCCTCAGGGTCACCTCCAGCTCCGCGGGGCCCTGGGCCAACAGCTCCCTGAGCCTCCAAGGGGCGCTCAGCTCCGACCTCAGGCTGAGCTGTGAGGCCCAGAACGCCCAGGGCACCCAGAGCGCCACCGTCCTGCTGCTGCCAGGTCAGGGGCCTGTTGGGGCCCAGGTTTAGGGAGGTGGATCTGAGGAGTGACCAAGGACAGGGCTTGGGGCCATGGGCTGAGCCTGGATGGAAGGGGTGGACAGAGGACTCGTTCTTTGGCTGTTTGGGATGAAGGGCTCCAGGTGTGTGGGGAGGACGGGGTCCTGGGGCTCAGAGGGTTTCACCATGAACCCCACTTGCCTGCAGGGAAGCCAGAGCTCAGGGGAGGAGCTCTTCTGGGGACACTGGGGGCTGCTGGTGGGGTCGCTCTGCTCTCCCTCTGTGCCTGCCTCGTCTTCTGGTGAGTGTTCTTCCTGGGCAGGATGCCAGGTGTGGAGGGAGGGTGTGTCCCCAGGACCCTACAGGCCCCACTGGAGGGTCTGACAGGCCAGTGCCTATGAGTGGCCTTGGGCCAGAGGATCAGAGCAGGGGTCTGTGCCCTGCCCATTATCCCAGGAGTCACTCAGTGAGACATGTCCCCTGACTCCTGGGCCTTGGTAGGCTTTCTAGGCTATTTTAGCAGGGCCCACAGAAGTCCCACCCCAAGGTCTGAGCCCACAGGTGGCTGAGTGGCCCAGTCTCCTCCTTCAGGTTAAAGACTCGCAGGAAGAAAGCTGCCAGCCCAACAGGAACTGCACAACAGGACACCCCCGTTGACCTGGGCCCTGTCTGTGGGGTGAGTGTGAGGATCCTACTGTCCTCCAGCCCCCGCCTCCCCAGGTGGCCGGGCCAGAACCTCTGGACAGCCTGGGGACTCATTATGAAAAATTGGCTTTGCTTCTGTGTCCCCACCAACATGGCCCCAGTCCCAGTCTAGTGTCCTGGAACTTCCCAGCCAAGGCCCTTACCTGCTCTCAAGGCCATGGCCACCCAGGTTGCCCACCCACTGCCTGGACTCATTTCAGCCCCTTCCACTCCGTCTCTTCATTTCTCTCTGAACCCCTCACCCCTTCCCTTCTCCTCACTCCTCAGCAAGGCAGGAAGCCACAGAAATATCCCCCAAACGGCCATGGTCTGTTGGAAGCCTCACGTGTTCCAAGCCTGACATCAGCTGTGAAGCAAGAGGCACAGGGGTGGGGTGGGTGACAGGAGGTCCCAGTGGTCCTGTCCCATTGGAGTCTCTCCAACAGCACCTCATCTCCAGGGCCAGAGCCTGACAGCAGGTAGCAGTATTGCCACCAAGAATTCCACCCGGCCTTGGCATCCAAGGCTCCACTAGGGACTGGTCACACTGACACTCTCACCTATGTGGCTGGCCTCAGTTACTTGGTGTCTAGCTCCTCCAAAGATCAAAGTGATGCCATATGACCCTACGTGGCCACCATAAACCACACCATTAGCATAGGTAAGCGTAGGTCAACCCGTCTGGCCTGAGGTTCCCAGGGGAATGCAGATCCTTCTGTCAGGCGGGGCCTGAGGGAAGATAATCCCTCCCAGGAGCTGGGTGCAGAGAGTCCACCCCTAATCTGGGCAAGATGAGTCCCAAGGCACAGTAGCCTTTGTTTCGTGGGCTCATGGCATGCTGCCCAGTTCCCTTTGCCTGCCTGGCCTCTGAAATGCTGCGTGGGCCCTGAGGGCATCCGGGCCTGTGCTAAGGCCTGCCCATTGGCACCGCCCATTCTTGTGCACCTTGTCACATTTGCTGTTTGACGGTGTCTCTAAGAAGGTGACTGCTATGTCTGCTTGTCCTTCCCCACTACTAACTGGGCGAGGCCGGAAGGGTGCCTGCTCAGGTGCCCGTGCAATATGCAGGGCTGCTGCGGGGGGCGCTCTGCCCCTGGGCCCAGGGCACTGGACTCAGAGACACCTGGCCAGGAACCCTGCTGACCACTCACTAGGTTGTGTTTGGAAATGGTTATTTAGCCCCTTTTCTCCAGCTGGTAACTGGGCCCATGAGTGTTCCCCGTGGATTCTGTGAAGGCTTGTGAAACGGGCACTGACCGAGCACCAGGTGCACGCGATCCCAGGCACTGAGGGAACCAGACTGGGTGGACGAGAGCAGGGCGCCCAGTCCTTCTCTGTGGGGTGAACAGAGGCGACTAAACGCTCATTTAAGGGTTGGCTTGTGCGTCCTCCTTGCTCTTTCCCAGCCCCATCATCCTCATTGGATCCCGACTCCTGCCCCACTTCAGGGTCCCAAGGATGCATCCTGGTTGGACATCCTCTCACATGGTCCCACCCCTGCTGAGGCCACGCTGGCTGTGGGTGAGGAGCCAGAGCCCCAGGAGCTGCACTACGACTTCTGCACCTTCCTGGAGTTGGAGTCTCGAGAGCCCAAGGTGCAGGAGGCCACCAGCAGGACAGAATACTCAGAGATGGAGATCTGCAATGACAGCCTCCAGGAGCACCCTAGTGTCCTGGGGAGAGAGACATCAGGGACAATTGCTAGGACATGGAGCAGCAGAGGCAGAGAGGATGCCCCACCCTGGTGCTGGGCAGAACGGGAGCCCCAGTTTCAGCCCCATCACCAGTGAGGAGCCCCACTTTGAGCAAATGACTTCAGTCCTCACCTTCCTCCTCTGTAAAATAGACCCCATCAACCTAACTCACAGGACTGTCCTGGGCCATCAAGAAAGAAAAATGCATCAAGCCCCCAAAGGACTGTGTCTGCAGAGAGTCGTCACCCAGAACCCCCTCCCAGGGCAGTGCACTAGTGTGGAGCCCACCAGATCTCTCACCCTGGCCCAGTTGGGGTGCACCCTGCAGGATGCCCCTGCTTCCCAGTGCTCCCAGAGCTCAGTTGGGCTGTCCCCTGCTCACCTGCTTCTCCCTTCTGGCCTCCAGGCATGTGAACTGCTAGGGGGACACCTTGTCCCTCCTTACCCCTCACGCCCATCTCCACAGCTGCTTCCTGCAGCCCCACCTCTCCTTGGCACAGTCACTCCTGTTCATCTGGAATAAATTGCAAGTGTGTAAACCGCTCATCTCTGGCTGAGCTCCATTGCCCTGCGGGTTGGTTCTCCCTCTCCACTTCTTCTTTTGCTGAATTTGCGTATAAATTCCCTTGCACTTGCAGTCTGTGCTCCACACACAGTGTGACACGGTCCTCCCACGGTCACTTCCTCCTTTTCTTCTTTCCCATTGTGCCTTCATTAGTGAGAAGGCACAGTGGACATTGGCGTCATGAGCAGGGGCTCCAGCGTGTGCTAGCAGCAAGTGAAGGCCCTGGCTGCCACTCCTCAGCTTCCCTGGCCAAGGCTCACCAGCGCTCCTCCCCTCAGGAGGACACTGCACGTCTTGGCCAATGACTTGTATTTTATACCTTAATTTAATTTATTTATTTTTATGTGGTGCTGAGGATCCAACTCAATGCCTCACATGTGCTAGGCAAGCGCTCTGCCACTGAGCCACAACTCCAGCCCTTGGTCAATGACTTTTCACAATGGTGTCCATGACCAAAAAGAACACTGTTGTCAAGTTTTGTTCCTCTTTTCAAGAGGACACTTGGTGATTCCAACTTTCCCATCCTGCTACAGCAGTCAGTATTGTCCCATAAAATACTGAATTCTGAAACGGGTAAAATCTTTTTCAAAAACAGTCATGGCGAATAGTACAACCATGTGTTAGAGGATATCAAGACTGTCTTTTCCCCTTCTAATTAATGTCCCTCTGAAGAACAGCCTGGACACCTGAAGGAACACATTTTTCATCAACCCTTTCTTTATCACATCTGAAATTTCTCATCATCAATGTAGCACTCACCCTGCTGTCTGTTCTTTTTGTTAATATTTTTTAGTTGTAGATGGACACTGTACCTTTGTTATTTAACTTTATGTGGTACTGATCATCAAGCCTAGTGCCTCACACGTGGTAGGTGAGCACTCTACCACTGACCACAACCCCAGTCCCTGTTCTCTGTTATATGTATGATACAATTGATAAAAACCAAACTATTAGAAACTATAAATAAGAAATGAAAGACTTAACTCCATAGATTATTTTACATCAAGAATTTGTGCCAGGTGAGGGGATGCACACTTATAATCCTAGTGACTAGGGCGGTTGAGGCAGGAGGATCACAAGTTTGAGGCCAGCCACAGCAATTTCGAGAGGCCCTGAGCAAGTTAGTGAGACCCTGTCTCCAAATAAAAATTGAAAAGGGCTTGGGATGTAGTTCAGTGGTAAAGTACCCCTGGGTTCAATTCCTAGTACCAGTACTTTTCACAATGGTGTCCATGACCAAAAAGAACACTGTTGTCAAGTTTTGTTCCTCTTTTCAACAGGACACTTGGTGATTCCAACTTTCCCATCCTGCTACAGGATGGGAAAAGGAAGAAAAGAAAGAAAGAAGAAAAGCAAACAAGCAATGAAGTCAAACATTTTGGAAGACTCTTGGCTATGGCTCAGCTAGACTTCAGAGTCCCCAGGTTCCCATGTAGGAAGCTTGGTCCACAGTGTGGTGCTGCTGAGGTGGGGGGGCCTTGCTGAAGGGGATTAGCTCATGGGTGATGTCCTCAGAGGAGATTAATCCTCCTCCCAAGAAGAGCAAGCCTGACTCCCCTCCCCACCTTTTTGTAGTGCTGGGGATCAAACCCAGGGCCTCCCATATGCCAGCCAGGTGCCCTTCCCCTGAGCCACACCCCTGCTGGGCCCCTCTCTAGCTTCCAGTCTCTCTAAGGTCTCTGTTTCTCCCACACTCCTGCCACTGTGGTGCCATGTGCCACAGGGTCCTTTCCAGACACGCCACGCTTTTGAAATTCCAGAACTGTGAGCTCAACACACCTTTTTGCTTTACATAGTCCCTGCCTCAGGAGTTTTGTTATATCAACAGAGAGGGGACTAAGAGACTTTTCATCAGCCTACAGGATGAGTTCTTTGCTTCATGGAAATAAAACCAGCATTCTCTCTTGGGGGTTTTCAATGCAAGAGAACTGAAAATACAGCATGGTAGAAACTCAAAGGTAAAAAGAACTAAAAGAAATCCTTTAGCTGCTCAGTTCTAACAGTATAAGGGAAGTGGGGTCAGGCCATACAGTTCTTTACATAGCAAAGTGCTTAAGCTGCTCTGCAGGAAAAGCCTCCAAATTTGATTTGAAACCAATTCGTCTAGAATGGGCATAGGCAGAAGTCCACTCCGCTGGTCAATGACCTTTAGACATCAGAAACTCAGAATCTGCTGAACATGGTAACTGCCCCCAAAAGAATCCTGTGACCTGTCAAGAGGAAGGGCAGCAGTCGTTTCTATGCAAGAGGACCCCCAAACCTCCCCCTCTTGCCCTCTGAGCACAAGCAGCTGCTCCCTGCCCCTTCCTAGAAGCTCCTCAGTTACAAGTGGCTGGAGAGACAGATTCCAGCCTTTGCTCTCTGTTAGAGTCTGTAAACAAGTCAAAATAACACCTGGCATTTTGCCAGGGGAATGTTAAAGTTCGTAAACAAGTCTGGATGGTGCCTGGCAAAATGCCAGAGGGAGTGGTTTGAGAAGTAACAAAAGCGAGCCATTAAGTGTGGAGATTCCTTATTGGTTGACTGATGTATCTAGTTTATGCTAATTAGATAAGCTGTGTGGAATGTATAAATACTGCTCCTGTCCTGCAATAAACGGCTCCCACTCCTGCTGTATCAACGTACACAAGTTATTCGTCACTCCCCGGTTATTTTGCTGCAGCCGGACTGCGGCAGCTCTCTGTCCCTGATGAGTGGCCTTCAACACGCAGCTTTTCCTTTTTCCAGTGCCACAGCATGCTCTGTGCGGGCTGGGCAGCCAGCTCTTGGTCTGTATTATAAGGGCTCGGTAAGAACAACTTCATGACAAGCCTCCTCTGCCCCAGGAAGGCGTCAGGAGCTGTGTGAAGGGCGTGTTGTGCAACGTGGCCCCACAGCCAGCACCTTCCCCCGGCCGTCCACCCCGGGCTTCCACTTGGAATCAGCACCGTCCACACCTCCCACCAACAGCCACCAAAATCTGTATTTGTGGCATCTCAATCCACAAATTGAGTGGCATTGAGATGCCACATATCATCAATGTGATGTTTTCCACTAAATTGCAACTCACTGAGAGTCTGCGGTCACCGCTCAAGTCTCCTGTGGAAGGGATTCTACTATGCAGTCACCTTAAGAGCAAGCTTTTTTTTTTTTTTAAATATTTATTTATTTTTTTAGTTATCGGCAGACACAACATCTCTGTTGGTATGTGGTGCTGAGGATCGAACCCGGGCCGCACACATGCCAGACGAGCGCGCTACCACTTGAGCCACATCCCCAGCCCTTGAGCAAGCTTTTTTCAAGAGAAAAATATTTCAAAGCCAAGACCCGACCTTTTAGGGTGATTTGTTCTGCAGCAAAAAACCTGCTCTGCAGTAGCAAGTGCCAAGGACAGGCTGCTCAGCCTGAGACAGGCGCAGGGGAAGAAAAAAGAATTCCCTGGGTCATCTGGGATTCTTGGTTGCCAGGGATGGAGACGCCTCTTTAATCAAGTGGGCAGTGTCTTGGTTCTTGGAGGCTGACAACCCCAGGTGGGTCTGGCTTCAGGCGTGGC